TGCCCGACCCATTGACTGAGTAAACGTCGCATTGTTAACAGTTTCGCTTCAATGCACGCCTAACTCTTATATAAGAGCTTCTCTATTGACCAACCCATAAAATAGCAATGTGCGGGGGTCGGCTAAGTAGTCTGCGTTCTAGTATAGAATATATGAACTTATGTGTGTAATGTAAGTGATAAAATTAAAAATAACTAAGTGAAAATTAAGCTGTATGGATTTTGTTCTCTAATTTGTCTTTCCTTTAATGTTTATTTTAAAATACTTATAATACCTATCTTCAAAATATTTTAGCTCATCTTTCATTTATTTCATTCATCTTTTATTCATTTTTTTTTATTTTTTTATTTTTTTATTTTTTTATATTTATTTTTTTTTTATATATATTATTTATCTTGCTTCTTTAAGATTCTACCATCTTCAGGAAATTAATATGTATGTCATTTTTATAATTTTTTGCAGCTCTCTATATTTTTATTTCTTCTAAGTAATGTATATTTACTATATACATATATTTACTATGTACATATATTTATTTTATTTTATTTTCTTAGTTTTTTAATAAATATATATTAATTTGCGCATCTACCTTATTTCGCCCTCACTAAACATTTGAATGTCTTATTAAACTGCCCTCGCCTGCTTACGTCTATTCGATAGTCGACTCACCTGCATGCCCGTCTCTCGCAGATGCTCGTTGACCCAGTTGCGAAAGGTGTTCGCCTGGATCTCCACCCACAGATCCTCGTTGCCGCGAATGTTCATGCCCTTGGCGGCGGTGCCCTCGGGACTGCGAGCCACCAGGCCGGCATGTGTGATCTTTTGGGTCTCGGTGGTGCCGTCGCTGTTGTGCTTGAGCAGGCCCGCGTGCGTCACCTTGGCGCCCTTGATGTCTTTGACGTCCATAGTGACGATCTCTTCTGCTCGCCTCGCCTCTCTCTCTCTCTCTCTCTCTCTCTCACTTCACTTCACTTCACTTTCGTTGCGTTTCGCTTGCCTCAGTTTCTATGCAATCTGGGCTGGCAATTGTTTCATTGTATTTGCGTTTATTTATATTTATGGGTCTTTCAATAATTTGCGATGCCTTTAAATAAATAAATATTCTGTTAGATTGTTAATTGAGCAACGCGATTTCGTTTTCGATCTCGAGTTCGATTTCCGAGCGCACGCGATCATTGCCCAATGCGAACTGAGCGGCTAACACTTTGGGCCCCACTTGCTTTCGGGCCAAAACAAACAGCAGGCGCTGACGAGTGCAAAAACAATGACGTCATGCCCGAGCTTAAAGCTCGGCTCACTACCAGCAGCAGCAGCAACAACAACAAGTGCCACAAAAATGTGGGCATGCGAATCGGAATCGGAATCCGAATCTGATTCCGAATCCGAATCTGGCTGTGTAGAAACAGGTTTAGAGCGCTCGCTTCACAGCCACAGCCACAGCGAAGCGAGCGAAAAGGAAAATTGAAAAAAGTATCTGACAATAAGGCACACAAACAACTACAAAACGCCAACAACAAAAGCAGCAAAAATTCACTTAGTTTGGAATTTCGCCGCAAAAAAAAATAAGACAACAAAAAAATTTGTGATCGCTCAGTGCGAGGTGGGCAGCGTCTAAGAAATCAAGTAAAAATAATATACAAAATTTATAATAATAATAAAAATAAATACGAAAAAAACCAGCAAGAGTGCAGCAGGAGTAGGCAGTGCAAGACTGCAAGATACGCTGTAAATGGTATTTCTTAGGCTGATAAGATATATAAAGAGTTGAGCAGAGTATATATTTGGCCGACTGGCTGAAGCTGATGCGATTTGGGTAGTAAAAGCTGTTCTTTAATTAAGCTTACAACTTTTACGTGAAAATTATGGATATTGACAGCTTGAAAATAGCCAAAGAAATTGCAAATTGAGTTAATTCATTAATATAGCTGATGAGAGAAAAGCAAAAGCTCTCTAAAGTTACACAGACTTTGAGATGTTTGATGAGCTAATAAGTGGATAAATAGATTGAATGGATACATTTCTGATTGAGATATATCTTAACACACGTATAGGTGTATCTATTAGGTAGATGAGTGAATGCACAGAAAGATAGAAGAATAAGCAATTATATGGATGAAAGAACAGCAGGCCAATTGGCTTACATCTTAATCAAATGAGCCAATGAAGAGTGTATATATCACCCTAAAACATAGAAGTCCCCATCCAGCTGTCATATATAATATAGAAAATGCTATACCTCAACAGCAGAGCAGAGCTTGACCAAATTTGCTCAGCTTTCATTATATTCAACTCTTCACATTTCTCTAATCGAAATCAAAACACCCGCATTACACACTTTCTTTATATACAGGGTATAAATAGTGTGTGGTTGTTTGTTGTTGAGGTTGTTGCTGTTGGCACAGCGTAGGAAACTGTAAGTCTTTCACAACAGTCAGAGCCAGAGCCATAGCTATAGCCACAGCCGCAGCCACAGCCACAGCCAGAGCATGGAGCAAGTTTAGAAGGCCGTCAAGGTTTCTGCTTACAGCCCATATAGGCATTGACAACGACAATGTATGTATGTGTGTGTGTGTGTGTGTGTGTGTACATATGTTTGGCTGCTCTGGGTGTTTGGGTGGGTGTCGCGACTCTCTACGCACAGCCCAAACACAATTGCAATTGTGTGGCCAATTGATCAATGTGAACGCAATTTCACTTCACTTTTACCGCAAGCATTTTCTTAGCCAAATTGAAAGCGGCCTGCAAATGCGCTAATTGCCAATTGGCACTTGATGAGACAATTAGCAAATGATGCCAAAAACTAACTGCGGTTGCCCATGCCAAATGCGCCGATTACTCGGCCAAAGAACTCTAGTAGCTCTTAATTTGTGAATGAACTCCAATTTGTGATACATACATATACATATATATAATATATACATTTATATATGCTATATATGTCGCACTAGTCACTCAACGTACATAGATATATCATCTTAAGAGCGCTGCTCACATTTCATATACCAAAAATAACATTTTTTGCTTTCTGTTGTTTTATTTGTGCATATTGAGAAACAATTTTTGCTGAGCGTGTTTACTTTATTTCGATGATGACATCACGCATCTTTCATGGAAGCACAGCGACAAAAACTGATTGAAAATAAGCAGGAATCAGCCAGATGCGGGTATGCGACAAACAGCTGCCCTGTAAGTCGCCTCGAGACTCTGTAAAGTCTTAGTCATGCATATGACATGATGTAAGTAGGATGGGATTGTCAAGTGATATGTTATATCCAGCTGAATAACGACATCCGTTAAGAGAAATCATATTTATATGTGTATTTTCTGTGACTTTCTTCATGGGTTATTTATGAATCACTTTGATAGAGCAAACATTATATGTAGATCTAATCTGTCCACACATAAAACTTCCATAATCAATTCTTGTTCATTTCAATGAATATGTCAAGTGTTTAACAGCCATTTAACATTTATGTAGCTTGATAAGCTAATGCTTATTTACTTGACAGCATGGCAGAAAAGCTAAAAGACTTTTTAGGTGCCAGAAATGTTAATTGAAATAGCCTGTAATCTATGTTAACAGCTCGCTAGAATTCTGTTAAGTCCCTGACCTATATAAAAGAAGGCATAGCCTGGAGTCTGGTTGCTGTAAGCGCTGTAGGTAAAGTCAGATATAGCCGTAGAGAGAGAGAGAGAGAGAGAGAGAGAGAGAGAGAGAGAGAGAGAGAGAGAG